CTTGCATGGTCCTTGTAGGACAGAGGTGTGGCTCAGTCGGTTAGGCATCTGACTTCGGCTCAGGTCATGCTCTCATGGTTCAGAAGTTTGAGCCCCATATCGGGCTCTGTGCTGACAGCCTGGAGTTGGCTTTGGATTCCGTGTCTCCCTCTCTCTTTGCCTATACCCTGCTCACACCCAGTCTCTTTCTCTCTCAAAAAATAAATAAAAATTTAAAAAAAAAAATCATTGCAAAGGTTGGAGGTGGGGAGGAAAGCCGTTTTGGAGCAGGGTTGGGGGAAAGGAAAACTTCTTAAAAGAGATATCCAAGTTGGGTTTTGAAGGATGTGTAGGAGTTTGTGACAGCGGAAAGACATTGCAGGGAGAGCATCTAGCAAGAAGTATCCCAAAGAACCATTGATTTGACCAGCAACTGGGGATTGCCTTGAAAGCAGGAACCCTGGCCCTCTTGAATCTCAAGAGCCTTGAACAATGCCTGACGTGTGCTTGGTACATGCTTCTTTGAGCGAATGCCTGTGTTGACACATTGGAGTGAGAGAAATTATAGTAGAAACAGATGGGGCTCAAATGTGGAAGGCCTTATGAGCCGTAGCAAGGATCAGCTTTTGAAGGTGATAGGGAGCCATTTGAGGTTGTTACCCAGAGGGGAGAGGACAATCAGATCTGTCCTATTTATTAACACCAATATTAAAAAAAATTTTGAGAGAGAGAGAGAGAGTGCGAGTGGGGAAGGGGCAGAGAGAGAGGGAGACACACAATCCAAAGCAGGCTCCAGGCTCTGAGCTGTCAGCACAGAGCCCGACGCAGGACTCAAACCCATGAACCCTGAGATCATGACCTGAGATGAAGTCAGACGCTAAACCGACTGAGCCACCCAAGCCCCCCTGTTAACACAAATGTTTAAGTCTGTAGATTTTCCTCTGAGCAGGAGAGTCTTACTGCTTTTAAGCACACATGGAAAGATCTTCCAATTTCACTCAACACCAAGGGAAAAGGAATTTAAGCTCCAGAGAGGTATTTTCCACCACCACGTCTGCAGAGGTCAGAAAGCTTGTAATACACGGTGTTGGGGAACTCGTCGTGCTTGTGCCTTGTTAGGTGGAGTATAAATTGATACCCCCGTGGGGGGCAATGTCTGTCTAAATTTTAAAAGCAGGCACCTTTTGTCCCAGCGGGTTCCCTTTTGGAAAGTCATCTTATAAATATGCTTGCGTGTGTGGGAAATGAGGCACTTTCCAGGTTGTCAAATCCCTGCTGCATTGCTTGTCTCTTAGAGCAACCCAGTGCCCACTCAGCAGGAGGCTGGTCAAATAAAGTCAAGTCCATCATACAGTGGAATACCAAGCAACTGGAACAAAGAATGAGGAAACACTTTGTGTGCAGTGTAGGATGACCTTTCAGATCTGTTATTATTTTTTTTTTTTTAATTTTTTTTTCAACGTTTTTTATTTATTTTTGGGACAGAGAGAGACAGAGCATGAACGGGGGATTTTTTTTTTTTTTTTTTTTTTTTTTTTTTTTTTTAGGCTCCAGGCTCCGAGCCATCAGCCCAGAGCCCGACGCGGGGCTCGAACTCACGGACCGCGAGATCGTGACCTGGCTGAAGTCGGACGCTTAACCGACTGTGCCACCCAGGCGCCCCTCAGATCTGTTATTAAGTGAGAAAAGCTGGGCGCCCAGCTGGCTCAGTCGAAAGAGCATGTGACTATTGATGTCAGGGTCCTGAGTTTGAGCCCGACGTTGGGTGCAGAGAGTACTTCAATAAACTTAAAAAAAAATTCTTCAGAGAAAAAAGCAAGGGACAGAACAGTGTAAGGAGTATGTGGCCTTCCATTTGGTAACAGAAAATATGTATTTTTGTTAATATACACGCATAAAATAGTTTCTGGCAGGATGCACAAAAAAACAATAATGGTTGCTCCTACAGATAGGACCTAGGGACTCGGGATGGGAAGATGGCTGGTCACTTTTCCTTTTTCACAAGAAATAAAATTAAGTTCTCAAGAATAAGACCTCTAGGGGCGCCTGGGTGGCTCAGTCAGTTGAGCATCCAACTTCAGCTCAGGTCATGATCTCACAGTTTGTGAGTTTGAGCCCCACGTTGGGCTCTGTGCTGACAGCTCAGAGCCTGGAGCCTGCTTTGGATTCTGTGTCTCCCTTTCTCTCTGTCCCTCCCCTGCTCACTCTCTCTCTCTCTCTCTGTCAAAAATAAATAAACATTTAAAAAAAATTAAAAAAATCAAAGGAATAAGACCTCTATTTTATTGATTAAAATCAGTGTCCGATATTTTTTTAAAAAGCGAGATACAGAATGGGTTGTGTATTGTGCTTTCTGGGGAAACAAAATAGTGTATCTGGAAGATACTTGGGTGTTAGCAATGGTAGTTTTGCCTGTGGGGTGGAATGGGGGCTGCAGATTCGGGGAGGGAGGCTTCTCTTTCACCACATGTATGCCATTGTGTGTGATTTGAAAAATTTTTAGCTCATAGAATTAACACAGAGAAACATGGCTGGATGCCTGGGTGGTTGGGTGCGTGGGTGGGTGGTTGATGGGTGGGCATGTGTGCATGCATGGTTGCATTTGTAGAGGATGGGTGGATGGGTGGATGCATGCGTGGGTGGGTAGGTGGAGGAGTTGGTGCACGGATGGGTGAGCGGGTAGCTGGCTAGATAGACTGGTGGATGGATGATGTGTGGACGGGCTCATGGATGGGGGGGTAGGTATGTATCTGGATGCATGAATGGATGTCTAGATACGTAAGGCAACTTGGCTGCGGTGGGTGGAAGGAAGCCCTGAGGGGGGGCCCGGAGGGCTGAAGCAGGGGGATGGTTAGGAAATGACTGCGAGAGTCCAGGCAAGGAATAATTGGGGATGTCTCACACGAACCGACCTTCTGGTGTACATAAGTGCATACATTAAGGCGCAGCATTGTGTTTCACTGGAAGGCCACGTTCCTTTGGAATGAGTTTTTTCTGGCAAGTGGTCAAGGAACGGCTCTGTATGTAACACAACCGCCAGCAGTTTAATCTCGTTTGCACCACCCCCTGAAGAATTACAGGTGGCGTGAAAGTAGTTAAAATAATGGGTCTTCGACATAAACCATTCTTCTTCCTGATCACATTCTTGTTGACAAGGCCGTCTTCCACATGCCCAAGTCCCCAGAGGCATGACTTTTGTCCTTTTTCGGGTTTCTTTGTGTCTAGAAGTTTCCCAGGCAACCCCTTTGTGTGTGGTGACCTTTTCAAGTTTATTTTTCAATGATTTCTTGTTCTTGGTTCCGGAAAAAATAATTGTTGATATCGTAGAATAATTACACCTCAGAAGAAGCCGTTCAGGTGCCTCGTAAATACCCAGAGCTCCCTCACTCGCTCACTCTTTTTAAAAGTCAAATCCTTTCTTTTTATTAAGCATCTTAATAACCATTTTGAAGTGTAGACTTGAGTAGCGTTAAGTATATTCACGTTGTTGTGTATAACAAAGTCTCTTTTCTGAGAAGCTCGAAGCTTGTAGTTCGATCAGATAGTCAAACGTGCTTTTTAAGTGAAATGATCTTTCTGTTCCCATTACCTTCTTGTTTTTTCAGTGTTCTTTGATGTGGCTTTAAGGCTTGTCACGGAGCCCTAAGATTCCAGGTTCCTTGGAGTTCCTTGGTGGTCTAGCTGAACTGAATGTGTGGAGGCAGTTGGGATCGGGGATCTCTGGAGCTTTCTGGAAGGCACGTCGGCCAGTGGTGGGGAGAGATTGCTGGGTGAGAAGTAGGCTGCATGGGGCCTTGACCTTGTCCTAACCTGGCGACGGCTGTAAAACAGGATTTTGGGTTCCGTGCTGCCAGACTTTCCTGCTTTTCTGAGAGAAGCCAGATCTAAGTTTTTTCATGAAGTTTCCCGATTTTGGATGTTGGCAGCTAAGCGAAGATGATTTTTAAAAGCGTGCGAAAACAGGAGTAACGACAAACTGTCTCTGGGCCGAATTAGCCTGAGGGCCACCTGTTTTAGACCTCTAATCTTACCTGACCCAGTCATGGTAGAAATAGGAAATTAAGACCCACGGGTTGGGGAGTAACTTTCCCAAAGTTGTGTAACTGGTCAGTGGTCAAATCAGGACTCGAATTCAGTTCTTCATTATAGAAGTCCTAACTGTTGGTTGAAAGTTTTTTTCCTGGGCAGATAAACCCATTCTGTTGATTACGTGTCTGGCTACTTATCTGTTTGACATGTTTCTTTTTTTTTTTTTTTAATGTTTTTTTTTCCCAACGTTTATTTATTTTTGGGACAGAGAGAGCCAGAGCATGAACGGGGGAGGGGCAGAGAGAGAGGAGACACAGAATCGGAAACAGGCTCCAGGCTCCGAGCCATCAGCCCAGAGCCTGACGCGGGGCTCGAACTCACGGACTGCGAGATCGTGACCTGGCTGAAGTTGGACGCTTAACCGACTGTGCCACCCAGGCGCCCCGACATGTTTCTTTTTTAAGTTAAAAGCTTTTTATTTTAGAGGGTGCAAGTGAGGGAGAGGGGCAGAGAGAGAGAGAGCGAGAGAATATCTTAAGCAGGCTCCACCCTCTGCCTAGCGCTCAACACAGGGCTCCATCCCATGACCCTGGGCTCGATCCCACGACCCTGGGATCATGACCTTAGCCAAAATCCAGTCAGACATTCAACTCGCTGAGCCCTCCCGGGCACTCCTATTTGGCATATTTCTAATGAAATACATGTGGGGTTTTTAAAAAAATAAACAATTAAACCAAGTTTATTTCTGAGGCTGGATAACTTAGTGGTTCGGTGCAGGGACTTCCGAACCAAGTTGGCTGGGTTCGAATTGGGCTTCAGATCTTACCAGCGGGGTGATGCAGGAACGAATCACCAAACCTCTGTGTGCCTTAGCTTTCCCTCATGAAAGGGGAATGATGAAGTACTCACAGAATGAAGGGAGGCAATCCATATGAAGAACTTAGAATAGGGTCCCCTTAGCACAGAGGACTGCCGTTTGGGGGTTAGCCATGATGCCGATGCAGGTGATGCTAATGGTCGTGATACTGGCGGTGGTGGGGATGAAGCAGACTTTCTAAAGCCCTCAGCTGACAAGATTGCAAAGTAGAATGATTCATGATGACCAAAGGATTCCTTAGCTGACAGGAGAATACCCTTCCGGGTTCCTCCAAATGGCAGTGCCCATCTCTTGTACGATTGTGGAACTTGCGACAGGTCCTAGGACCTCTTATGTGAGACAGGGCCTACCTCGATTCCTTCTTTCTTTAACGTTTAAGTTTGTTTATTTATTTTGAGGGCGGGAGGGGCAGAGAGAGAATCCCAAGCAGGTTACGAGCTGTCTGCGCCGAGCCCAACGCAGGGCTGAAACCCACAAAGTGGGAGGTCATGACCTGAGCCGAAGTGAAGCCGTCTGAGCCGACTGAGCCGTCCAAGCGCCCCTCTATTTCTTATTTTTTGTTTCATGGTCTTGCTGGCTCCTGGTCTCTCCAGTTTACGTGTGCTGCCTCAGAGGGCCTCAGGTGGACAGAGGGCCTTGTCTGTCTTCCTCAACCCTTCGTATCTAGCTTTGAACTCCATGCAGATGTCTGTGCCTCTTTGGTGCAGCCTCTTGACCGTGACCCTGTGTTTCTGTCCGCAGGAGTGGAGTGTCACATGGAACACCAGCAACCCCGACTTCACCAAGTGCTTTCAGAACACCGTCCTCGTGTGGGTGCCTTGTTCTTATCTCTGGGTCTGCTTCCCTTTCTACTTCCTCTATCTCTGCCACCATGACCGGGGCTACATTCAGATGACATATCTCAACAAAACCAAAACTGTGAGTCGCTTGGGATTTCCTCCTGGTGGGGGAGGTGGGGTGTGCTCGGGTGGGGGTGGCGGCTGGTGAAGACTGACCTGCTTCTTGTACTTCATTGGCCCTGAGTTCCTTTTTCTAGAAGGCAGACGAGTGATGTGGTGGATAAAGGCTGAGGCTTTGGGTTCAGTCGTGGGTGCAGACGCTGGCTCCTCGGCTCGCTGGCCGTATGACCCGAGGCTGTCATTTTTATTACCGCAAAAGTGTTGTTACCTTGACATAATTTCAAATTGCGGAAGCTCGGCAAGGAAGATCCCAGGAGCTCCCGCTAGCCCTGTACACCTGCTAGTCACGTTCACAATTTCTAACACGTTTCCACCTTTGTTTTGTGGTTTGCTCTGGCACTCTCCCTGGACGTGTTTATTTTTTCCTGAACCATCTGAGAATCGGAACCATCCCTGCCACATGGACCCTTGATTCTTCAGTGTGTCTTTTCTCAAAACAGGGATATTCTCTCACGTAATGGCAGTACAGTTAGTGGAGGCCATGGGCGTAATACTTGTAAAAAGAATCTACGGCCTGCGTCCGATTTTGTCACTTGTCCCAATACTGTCCTTTCCAGCGCCCCCACCCCCCTCCAACCCCAGCTCGGGATCCTGTCCAGATCCTGTGCTGCTTTTAGTCACGGGGGGTCTCTTTTGGTTTTCATATTTCCCAAGACTGATTTCCATAGAAAGAGGGAAACTTGAGTGGTTTCACCGAGGCTGCCCGTTTGCCCATAGGACCCTCATGGAAACCCGTCTCATTCATCCCACGTGAAATGCTGTCAATTTCCCGGTCCTCAACTAGATCCAATGTCTTTCTCTTGAGCACTTTGTACTTTTTGGGGAGAGCAACGTCTCCCTTTAAAATGTTAAACAGAGGGGCGCCTAGGGGACTCAGTCGGTTAGGCATCTGACTTGATTTCGGCTCAGGTCATGATCTCACAGTTTGTGAGTTTGAGCCCCACATAGGGCTCTGTGCTGACAGTGCGGAGTCTGCTTGGGATTCTCTCTCCCTCTTTCTCTGCCCCTCCCCTGCTCGTGCTCGCTCGCTCTCTCTCTCTCTCTCTCTCTCTCAAAATAAATCAAACAAACAAAAAAAAAACAACTGAGAAACAGTCTTTAAAAATTAAAAAAAAAAAAGTAAAACAGATTTTACCAAAAAACAAAACAAAAGTCTTGCCTAAAAGCCCTCCAGTAGCTTCTTACCACAGGGAATAAAATGTTCACAGTGGCCCAGCTTGATCTGGCCCCAGGTTCGTCTTCAGCCATCCACCCCACTCATTGCTCATTACATAGCACCCATAAGCCAGTCACGTATGTTCATACCTCAGGGCTTTTGCACCTGCTGTTCTCTCTGCCTAAATTGTTCTTTCCTTCAGATAGCCACGTTTGGCTCACTACCTGTATGTCACCAGATTGGAAAGGCCTTTCCTGACCACCCTGTGTCATGTGCTACCTTTTCATGTCGCTTACTCTCTCTGGTATTCTATATTTTTCCAGTTTGTTTCTTGCCCATTTCTTCCCACGAGGGTCTCAGCTCCACAGAGGCACGGGTTTTTCCGTGTGTTGTTCCCTGTTGTATCCTTGGCACTTGGAAAAGTATGTGGCCCTTAGTGGGCCCCCAGTGAACTTGGGTTGGATGAATGTTGTTTAATGAACGCTTATTAGAGGAGGGGCCTTATGCAAGCATCCAGGGTGGCAGATGGAGGTCAGCCGTAGACTGAGATCTTGAGTTGTCAGGGAAAGGGAAGAGCAGTGCACGGACAACGAGAGTATGAGAGGGTATGAGAGGACGTCGTACTCTGGTTACAAACTGGTGTGTGATGCCCCAGAGGGTGGCTCCCCCTCCCCAGGACTCACGCGTGTTCCAGAGGGTGTGTGGTGTGCTATGTCTAAGGACAGCTGATGGTTGAGGGCTTGGCTGGTCCCTCCAAGGCTGAGCTTTTTGGTGGGGAGTTGTGGGGCGGGGGGTGCTAGGGAAAGTTCCATTGCTGTCCCTTGTAAGACGCGTGTACCTCTTTTCCAGGCCTTGGGATTTTTGCTGTGGATCGTCTGCTGGGCAGACCTCTTCTACTCTTTCTGGGAAAGAAGTTGGGGCAAATTCCTGGCCCCAGTGTTTCTGGTCAGCCCAACCCTCTTGGGCATCACTATGGTAAGTAGGAGCCAGCTGTGTACCAGGCCCCACGGAGACCAAAACTAGCAGCCAGCGTTTAGAAATTCGGGGCACCTGGGTGGTTCCGTCGGTTAAGCGTCCGGCTCAGGTCGTGATTTCATGGGTTCGTGAGTTCGAGCCTCGCCTCTGGCTCCCCACTGACCGTGCAGAGCCTGCTTGGGATTGTGTCTCTCCCTCTCTCTCTGTCCCGCCTCTGCTCATCCTCTCTCTGTTTCTCAAAGTGAATGCATAAACTGAAAAAAGAAATGAGAAGATCTCACATCTCCCGGTAAAAATCCAAAAAATCTGGCTCCTCTTGAAAAAGTCACAGGCGGCACCAGCAGCCTCCTAGTTTTCTCAGGCCAGGAGTTGGAGACAAGACCGACGCAGTTCCTGTCCTCATGGAGTATATGTCTGGTTGTGCGAACAGACACTCGACGAATGAGTCCCCAAAAAGACACAAAATGTTTGCTCTTGTGCGAAGCACTGCAAGGGTGAAGTTTGGCAAATGTATTGGGTCTGGGGGCTAGGCAGGAAGGGGTGATGGAGCTGAAGCTGAAGGATGGGCAGGATGTTACAAAGTTGCATAGTCTGCGGGCAGAGGACTCTCCGTTTGGAGAGAATAACACGTGCAACAGTCCTGGGGTCACAGGAAGAAATGGAGAGTTGGCCTGTGTGGCTGAGGGAGAGGGAGTAAGAGTGGGGGAGGGCAGCTGGGACGGCAGCAAGGGCAGAGGGCTGACCTCATAGGACCTTGAGCTTCAGGTTAAGTGGGTTTGGTTTTGTTCTTCATTCCCAAACTTGGGTTGTAAAACTTCCCTTGTGCCATGGGCCCTTTTCTCCTTGGCCAGTCATGTCTCAGGATAATGTCCTTAACACAAATGCATAGGATCACAGAGGACACCCTTCAGGCACACACATGGATATATGTGAAGAATTTGTGATTACATTTATGTTTCCACTTGAGGTTTAACTTACATGTGGTAGGACTCACTTTTTCTTCTTAAATAAGTTCCTAAGTTTTGATAAACCCACTCACACTGCCAGCTCCACAACCGAGATCTGCAGCAGCCCATCACCCCCAAAAGTTCCGTCATGCTGCCCCCCCTCTGTGGGCAGCCCCAACCTCCACACCCCTGTCCCCTGGCAACTACTGGTGTGTTTTCTGTCCGTGTCACTTTGCCTTTTCCAGAACGTCATGTGAATGGCACTCTGCTGGCTGGGGCAGTTTGAGGCTGACTTCTCTGACCTGTTGTGTGAATCCAGAGAGGTGTTTTTTTTTTGTTTTTTTTTTTTTCAAGCTGCTCAATGTATTTTGTTGCATGGGTTTTGCCATACATTTTTTATCCATTTTTGAGTAAAACCAGTTAGCAAAAGGGGTGCGTGTGTGGCTCAGTCGGTTAAGCATCCCAGTCTTGATGTCACGGTCATGAGACAGAGCCCCAAGACTGGCTCTGCTCTGGGCATGGAGGCTGCTTAAGATTCTCTCCCTCTCCCTCTGCCCCTCCCCTGCACACATTCTGTCATTCATAAATAAATAAATAAATAAATAAATAAATAAATAAATAAATGCAGTGAAAGATTAAGAAGCAAAATAGATATATGCATTTCAAATCAAGATCTACCAGCGGGTAGGATGCCTCTGTGATTCCCAAGTAGTGATGACTATATGTGATATTTGGACATGTAATGTCTTCAGTTGTATATTTTCCGATAGGATTTCTCTTTTAATTTTCTTTTTTAATGTTTCTTTTGGCGAGAGCACGAGCTGGGGAGGGGCAGAGAGAGAGAGGGAGACACAGAATCCGAAGCAGGCTCCAGGCTCTGAGCTGTCAGCACAGAGCCCGATGCGGGGCTCAAACTCATGAACTGTGAGATCATGACCTGAGCCGAAGTCGGACGCTTAACCGACTGAGCCACCCGGGCACCCCTTCAGGTGGGATTTCTAATGGTGACGGTGTCCCAGGTACTACTAATACTACGTGGTTTATTGCCATCACTCACAGCTGGGGATGCTGATGAGGGAAAGTGAAGCTATAGATGTTTTCCTGTCCAAGTTCATGGATCTCTGGGTCCCAGCCACAGCCCGTCCTTGGACCCCAGGTTGAAACCCCAGGTCCTGAAGGGAGAGGTTTTGAGCGAGGGTGTGTCACGCCTGGCTCTGTGTATTGAAAAGCTGACTGTGGCCTCTGAGTGGAGAACGGATTGAATTGTTGGGACAGAACTGGAAGCTGGGAGTCCAGTGGGGGGCCCGTGGGGTGACCCAGAGTGTTGGGAGGGGGCTGAGGCCAGGGTGAGCAGTGGCTAAAGTGAGGATCTGCCTTGATGGCAGATCTGCAAGTTTCTGATAGATTGTAGGGAGTGAGAGAGATTCCCCGCCCCCCCCCCCCCCCACCACCCGAGGTGCATAGATGAGGACAGACAGGCGGTTGTGTTTCTGGGGAGTAAGGGCAGGGGCCGTGGGTGACCCTTCAGCTCCTCGTGACTGGCTTTGGGGACACGCCTCGGGAGGCCAGCTCTGCTTGTCTGGAGAATGACCGTGGCAGTTCCTTCTGTAGAGAAAAAGTAGTTTTATCATTTGTTTTCTCTCCCTGATCGTAAAATCGGTGTGAAATGGAAGTAATAGCCTCAGGTGTCAGGAATGACATAAAATCCCATTCTCCCCCGCCAGCCATCATTCTCATAAAGTCCCCTGTAGGTGACATGCGTAACTGTAGGTAGATTAAAAGTAAGCTTCATTTCCTTTTGAAGGAGAACACTTACCACTGTTGCCCAGAGGAGAAGAATTCGTCCCAGTCAGGGATGGGATTTGAACATAGGTCTTCCTACCTGTAAATAAAGGCTTGGCCCACTGCCTGTTTTTGTCAATAAAGTTTTATTGGCACTCAGCCATGCCCATTCATTCAAGAAAAAGTGGGCCTATGTCTCTTCCAAAAACATTTTTTTAATGTTTACTTATTTTTGAGAGACAGAGACAGAGCATGAGCAGGGGAGGAGCAGAGAGAGAGAGGGAGACACAGAATTCGAAGCAGGCTCCAGGCTCTGAGCTGTCAGCACAGAGCCCGATGTGGGGCTGGAACCCACCAACGGTGAGATCATGACCTGAGCCAAAGTCGGAGGCTTAATCTACTGAGCCACCCAGGTACCCTGCCTACATCTGTTCTAAACTGAGCTTCCCCCCCAACTTTTCATCCTGCCCCAGATCTATTCATGATCTTCTTAAATTCCCACAACCTTCAAGTTAGATGCTATTGGCATTTCCATTTTGTAGATGAGGCAGTGGAAGCTCAGAGAAGCTCAGTGAGTTGCTCAGGGTCACCCAGCAAGGTGAGAGCGGAGCTGGTCCTGGAGCCAGGTCCCGCCCCCGCCCCCCCCCCGGCGGGTTTTTGCACCCCCGGGCTGAGGACAGCCCTGATCCAGTCCTGACAGCTGCCGGGATTGTAGGCGGCCGTGGGGCCCGGTCTTGTGACAACTCCTGTTGTATGCTTCTCTCTTCCAGCTGCTTGCTACCTTTTTAATTCAGCTCGAGAGAAGGAAGGGAGTCCAGTCCTCGGGGATCATGCTCACTTTCTGGCTTGTAGCCCTACTGTGCGCCCTTGCCATCCTGAGATCCAAAATCATGACTGCCTTAAAAGAGGTAAGTGGTGGCCTCGAGCGGCCCTTGGGAAAGGTGCTTATTCCTTCCAGCTTATGCGGAAATCGTGCATTGCCCTGGGATCCAGACAATGAGTAGTATATGGGCCCATCTTCTCCCCCCAGGGATTTCGCTAGCTCATTCAGCCTTTCATCTAGAACCTTCTTTCTTCAGAGCCCCATTTACTTGTGTAGCTTCAGGGGCCCATGTGGGTTCTCTAGGGGTGGGAGCCCTAGACAGGTGCACACCGCCCTCTGAGCCCCAGTCAGCAGTGAACAGCAAGGCAAGTCAACTGTAGATAATCTTTGGTGTGCACCAGAGCTGAGCGGGGAGTGGTGTTCGCAGAGCGGCTGCCCCCCTAGGGAGCCTGATACTGGACCAAGGTTTTTTTCCATGAAGAATCTTACCGACTGCTGACAATTACTCCGACAGGGTTTCTGAGCCTCAGCACTAATGGACATTTTGGACCGGCGATGTCTTTTTTTTAAGAGACTGTCCTGACCTTTGTAGGATGTTTGCGGGGCATCCCTGGCCTCTGCCCATGGATTCCAGTAGCAGACCCCAAGTTAGGGTGAACAGAAATGTCTCCAGATGCTAGTAGATGTTCTTTGGGAGGCAAAATCCTCTGTGATTGAGAACCACTGATCTGTTTATACATGGAGAAACTCAAGTGCACAGAGGCTGAGTGAATTGACGAAACCCCGTGGCCAGTACGAGCAGGGCCAGGCCTTGAACGTGGGCTGGTTAACTCTCAAGCCTGAGCCTCCTTTTGCCACATTGGATGCCCTCACCAGGCATCCGGGAGCACACCGTGATGGGACCGCCTCTCTTCTGTTAGGGCAGGAAAGCTTGTTACTGGGTCTGCACCTGCTCCCTGGCCTCTGCAGGCTGCTTCCAGAAAGTGACCTTCTCTTCCTCCTTCCTTGCCACACTTCTAGGGTGCTGAAATTGACGTGTTTCGCGATGTCACTTTCTACATTTACTTTTCCCTCGTGCTGATTCAGCTCGTGTTGTCCTGCTTCTCGGACCGATCGCCCCTGTTCTCTGAAACCATCCACGACCCCGTAAGTGTGATCGGAGACACGGGTGTGTGTGTGTGTGTGTGTGTGTGAGAGAGAAATATTATACGGTGTTAGGTAACATCGATTAGACACTTGTTCTGTCACAGTATCATCCACGTGGGATCTCGTTCCATCTTCCCCCCCTACCCCGCCAAGGCCCAGAGAGAGAGGTAACATCCTCCTTCCCACTCTACAGATGGAAAAACTGAGGCCTCTGTGTGGCTAGGGGGAGTTAAGGAAGGAATCTGCTTCATACTTGTAAACGTCTGTGTCTTACAGGCCTGCTGGTTTGATCATTTGGTTGCCATAGCGATTTTAGAAAATGTGAGCAAAACATTTAAACGTGAAGATATTTCCCCTTCTAACAATGCAGGTTTTCTAGAATAACGAGAAGTTGTGTCACTATTTGGGCCATTGCCCCCCACAGCATTACTTGAGCTCCGCGGAGGAGTGCGGCCCTAGTCTCCACGGTGCCCAGCACTCCCTCTTGTATTACACAGTCTGCTTCCTTCTGTCGTGGTATGTCCCTGGCCCTTGAGGGATTTGAGTTTGAGACCCTGAGTCTCTTGTGTTATTTTGAGGGAAGCAGGAATCTTCTCTGGACCAGTGGGTGTGAGTGGGTGCGGTGGAAATGACCAGTCTTCCTGTTGACAGAATAAAAGGGAACATAGTCGTTGACCACTGTTGCCTCCGTTCTTCCTCCTGGCTTCCCCCTTTTCCTTCCTCTTTGCCCCCTCCCTCCTTCTCCTGCTTCTTCCCTCCCTCGTTCCATCTGGTGCCAAGTGTCAGGCCCCGGTCTGGGCACAGGGCTGTGGCAGTGCCTAACACAGAGATCTTGCCCACCTCAGGCTTATGTTGTCATGTGGGCCGGAGAGACAGTCTGTAACCCTGGACCCAAGTGTATATCAGTCAGGTGGCAGTGAATCTTGAGGAGGAGAGGAAAGCATGGAGAAGAAATGCATGTGATGGTTGAGGGTTGTGTGCAGTTTCGAGTTGATAGGAGCCATCAGGGAAGGCCTCCCTCATGAAACCTCACTGCGGTGCGGGAGCGAGCTGAGCAAATACCAGATGAAGAGTGGTCCAGGTGGGGTTGGCAAGTGCAAAGGCCCTGGGGCAGGAGCTGCCATGGACTGTCAAGGGAGCAGCAGGAAAGGCCAGTGTGCCTGGAGCAGCGAGAGGCCACGGAGGGCTAAGACGTGGCGTCTCAGAGGTGGGGACCATCGCCTGCAGTTGTGTGAGCCATTGGACTTTACTCTGAGTGGGAGGGGAACCTTTGGAGCATTTATTTGACGCTTTGTTCGTGGCTAGTCAGCTGTTAACTGGCGAAATGGCAGCAAGGGCAGTTCTTAGCTGCTGCGATTCTCTGGGGTTTGGCCTGAGCCTCATCAAAAGGCTGAGGCTGCCTTCGTAGGGGGACGAAGGCAGCTGTGGGGAATTGGCTCTGAGGAGCCGAGTTTTTACGTCTAAAAAACATAGGTGTGCGTGTTTGCATATGTGCATGTTGTTGTACGTGTGCACGTGCATCTGTTTTCGTTCACGTGTGCGTGTGCATATGCGCGTTAGCGTGTTCTTGGGCGCGTGTGTGTGTTTGTACGTGTGCAAAGTTCACAAGGGCAGCGACGACGCCTGGGGCGCCCACTGGATCCCGGCTCACGCCTGCCACAAAGGAGGAGAGGGGCTCACTTGTCTCTGGCTGCCGTGTCTCCTGAGCAGGGTTTGTGTGCATGGCGGTGGGTGTTGGTCAGCGGCATGTCCCCATCAGGAAACCTTTATTTATTTATTTTCAATTTATTATGTTTTTTTACATTCATTTTTGAGAGACAGAGTACAAGCAGGGGAGGGGCAGGGAGAGAAGGAGACGCAGAATCGGAAGCAGGTTCCAGGCTCCGAGCCGTCAGCCCAGAGCCCGACGTGGGGCTCGAACTCACAGACCGCGAGATCATGACCTGAACTGAAGTCGGACGCTTAACCGACTGAGCCACCCAGGCACCTCGGGAGAGGGAATTTCTGATGTCTGGTTCCCTCTGGGGATCTGGATAAAAACTCCTTTTTCTTCTTTCCCTGGGTGCCCATACATTAGGGTGGTTCGTAGAGCTGGCTTCTTCCTCCGTTGTGCTTTCTGCGTTCCCAGCAGCCTGGGCCTTGGGCCTGCTCTGCCACACTGGGGCAGCTGGAGGCTGGGTTGCCCAGGACTGGGACGCTCCGTCTCTTGTCCCCAGCCATTCAGTTTTAGGAGTCTAAGCTTACAGAGATGGTTGGACCGTTAGAACCTAACTCACACCCTGAATCTGATGGTGACAGCACGAAGCCTGCTTGGGATTCTCTCCGTCTCCCTCTCTCTGTCTGCGCACTCCCGCTCTCGAAATAAAAAAACTAGTAGTTTATTGTTAGGTATCATAGTCCTGGCTGTTGCCCGGGCTCAGCTGCGGTTCTCCCTCGGGGTTTCCCTGATGGTAGCATTGGGAAGGCGGCTTCTCACTCGCTGGGCTGGTGGTTAGCACCAGCCCCTGGCCGGAGCCTCAGCTAGGGTTGACGGTCCATGTCAGGGTGGCCTGGGTGACCTCACAGTGTGGTGGCCCTTGTCTGAGAATGAGTGTTCCTAGAGAGAGTGCCAGGCGGAAGCTGTGTCACCTCTTACGACCCAGTCCCAGATTTCACACAGTGTCACTCCTGCCACAGTCTGTTGAGGGAGGCATTCACAGAAGTCAGCCTGGGTTCGAGGGGCTGGGGACACAGACCCCACTTCTAGATGGGGGAGCGGTCAGGTCTCATTCTAAGACGAACTCATGAGATGGCAGATCATGTCTGGCCCTCTTTGGACAATGCAGTCTGCTGTGTACCCGCAGGAAGCTTGTGGCCTCGTGGGGGACAGCCATTGAACGGGTGGGCAAACAGCCGTGTACCTGCAGTTGAGGTGCAGGCTGGGAAGGCTGGGAATCAGCTTATGGGACTTAGATTTGTGACCCCAGGCAAGTCCCTCCTCCTTTCAGGACCTCAGTGTTCCCTTCTTGAAATGGGTTGAGCCCCATTTGGTGCTGGGATCTGAGGCCGGTGATCAGGGGGAGGAGGACACCGTTAGGTGCTTTCTCTGCCTGTCTCCCCATTATCCTCAGGGCTCCCATCATAGTGGAGCTCAGAAGATGGGGAGAGCCCAGCCCCAGCTGCTGTCCTGACTTCGGAGCCGCAGTCACATGTTGTCTGTGCACACAGGGAGCAGTCAGCCTTGCCCTGGGGTGGCCAGGGGCAGGTGGGGCCTGGGTGGGAGCTGGCAGCACTGGGCTTCTCCAGGCTCGCTCCTGCTGAGTCACCAAAGTCGGCCTCCTCTCCAGCTGGCCCTGTGCCCTTTGCATGACTCAGACGGCTGTGCTGGCCCTGGTTTTTCCGTGGGGCTGCTCCCCTTGAACCTCCAGGCCCTGGGCTGCTTGGAATCTGGGAGCGGCTCATCTAGCCTTCCAGGGCTCTCTTGGGGTTCCTGTCTGGCCCTTTCTGTGATCCTTGTTGGCCCCAAGGCTGCTGCTTGGAATGGGGCCCGTGAAAGGAGGGAGGTGTTTCCTTTTGCCCTTGGAGGCATCAACGGCAAATGTGGTCATATAGTGGACCCCCACTCCTCAAAGTGGGGTCTTTGGACCGACGGCACTGGCATTCCCTGGGTGCTGTTAGAAATCCAGAGTCCTGGGCCCACTGAGCCCTCCTGGGTCATAGCCTCATTTTAGCAGGATCTACGGGTGGTGCACGGTTGAAAAGCATTGGTTTAGGACATTTAAAACGCATGTAAAACTGCCCAGCTCATTTGGCATAAGAGGTAGTTTTAGTCCTGTCCATAAATATGGGAAATATTTCCCCCAGCACTTTTGCTGTGAACGCGGAAAGTGAGTACCCATCCACTCTCCAGTTCGATTCTACAGTTAACATTGTGCTCAACTTGCTTTATCACATATCTGGCCAACCAGCCAGCCAACTGGCTCATTTTTTTGGTATCTGAAACGTACTTTGAAATACTTAGTATGCGTTACCCAGACATTTGCACCATGCAAACCACTAGCCAGAGTGCAGTATCTGTATATGCTTCTGTTTTATGTTTCTCTTAAAGCAGAATTTGCATAGTGAAATTCCTGAATGTAAAAGTTACCGGTTGAGGAGTTGTGACAAATGAGTAATAGCCCAAGCCCTTATCAAGCTACAGAACACTACCAGGACCCCAGAAAGTTCCCTCCTGCCCTTCATGGTCAGTCTTGACCCCTCATACAATAGAGGCAGCCACTGAACATGAACTGCTTTATGAACGCATCGTAAAGTCTGTTTAAAAAAAATTTTTTTTTTTAATGTGTATTTATTTTTGAGAGAGAAAGAGCATGAGCAGGGAAGGGGTGGAGAGAGAGGGAGTCACAGAATCCGAAGGAGGCTCCAGGCTCTGAGCTGTCAGCACAGAGCCCGACACAGGGCTGGAACTCGAGAACGGCGAGATCATGACCTGAGCCGAAGTCAGACGCTTGACCGACTGAGCCATCCAGGCGCCCCTCATAAAGTCTGTTCTTAAGGCTTCTCTCATTTATGCTGTTGGTCACAGTGGTTTGGTATTGTGCAGGGGTGCAGGGTGGAGGGGCTCTGGGTACTGAAATGAACAAACTTGACCGTTGAGGAGGGGGCACTGGCCAAATAAACCAAGAGCTGTGGACAGTGGGGCTCCGAGGCAGGAAAGTGCTGGGGGCTGAGGGGCTGGAGGAGAGGTTCCTAACTCAGCCTGAGGCTCCAGGGCCAGCGTCCAGGGGAGGGGAGTCCTGAGTCTGAGAAACAAGAGGCGTCGGCCGGGCTTGTAAGGCCGGACAGGACGGGACTCCCGGTCGAGGAACCAGCGCATAAAAGGGTCCAGCTGTATAAAGGACCTTGTAGGTGTTTGGGGAACTGCAGGGTTCTGCTTGGTTGGTTCGGAGGGACCTAGAGCTGAGCTTGCAAAATCAAGGGTAGAATTGCATGTCACCATGAAGACTTGGGATTTGGCCATG